ATGACCGTTGGACCAGGGCGGTTACTGACTGGATCCCTCGGGACATCAAGCGAACACCAGGACGGCCGCCAACGAGATGGTCAGACTTCTCCACGAAAGCTCTGAACGAAAGGAATGTTGAACCTCGTGTCCCTGAAGCGAGAACGATTCACTGGACCACTCTGGCTCGTGACAGGGACGAATGGAGACGTTACTGGCGCCCGCTCGAGGAAGTCGATGATCAGCGGGACGACAGGTGATACAGGTGATACAGGTGATTGAAAATATCTCAGCTCACGCAAATATTGAAGTACTATTAATAGGCCGATAGTCCTCACATTTATTGTAAGGTGCTTTTTTAGGGACTGCTAGGACTATTGAACGCTTCCAACGTGAGGGCTCCCCTCATATATGACAGGTTGAAAATGTTCTCGAGCGGATCAAGAATGCTAACAGGAATCATTTCGGTAAACCTGAGGGGGATGCTATCAGGGGTGACAGAGAAAAAATTTGGCCAGCTGGAAAGGGCCTCAAATATTTCATTCTTATGAAACGAAATGGAAAGCTCCATGACAGGGCAATTGGGTGGTAAATCCTGAGAAAGGTACTGGGAAGAAGACCTAAAAGATTGATAACACATACGTGCCAGAAGCTCAGTTTATCCCTATCATTCATTGCAAAGTGGGATTCATCGACCATAAGAGAGGATACTTTACTGTTGTCTTTGAGCCTATAGGTGATGTACGTGTAAAGCTTGGAAGTGTTTTTCGATTCCGTAAACCTGTCTTCAAGATTAGAATAATGCTTGGCCAACGCTTTTCCGAGTTTCTGGTTTGCCGACCTGTACGACTCAAGGCGAACTGGATATATTTTTACGCAAGGAGACGAAAGTACTGATTACATCATTCTATATTGCAAGGAACGTTTTGTACTCCTCATTCATAAAACCAACAGAGCCGAGCAAGCCGATCCAGTCGATCGTAGAAAGGTAGTCACCAATGGACGTTAGCATTCCTAAAACCTCTGGTTATGGATAGTACTCATTGAGACCTGGAGACGTGTAGATGAAAAACACTCGCGGCATGATCAGTGGTATCTAGTGGAGGAAGGAATTTTGTTCTGGACACTAGCAAGCGAGAATAGCAAAAAAGGCTTTTACATCCGACAGCGATTTGTTTGCTTCATCTTCAACTTCGTGACGTTTCTGCTTCACATCTTTTGCATAGTACGCTTGGAATCCTCGATGTTTTCTTTTCTCTATTTTCACTGCGGTGGCGTCCTTGTTGGCGGTGTTGTTGACGTTGACGTTGCGTTGGCTGGATTTGAGTTCGAACTGCGGTAGTACTAGCACATTTGAAGCGATGTCGGCGACCTGGTTCGAAAATATTTTACATTGCCATGACATGAGTCTGACTTCCCCTTTTCTGGGCTGGATTCCGAGACTTATTGCGGGATGTTTGATCAGGGTTTCTTCACCAATGGTGCTGTAGAAATCGACTATTCTTGCCTCGAATCCTCTTAAAANCGTAGAAAGGTAGTCACCAATGGACGTTAGCATTCCTAGAACCTCTGGATATGGATAGTACTCACTGAGACCTGGAGACGTGTAGATGAAAAACACTCGCGGCATGGTCAGTGGTATCTAGTGGAGGAAGGAATTTTGTTCTGGA